AAACTGCTCAACACTCAGTGCTGTGTTGGCAGGTGTGCTTGGCAATCACCCATCATGCAATGGGCAAACACATTGAAAGAGTCTTCAGAAAAATTCACTGAAGCAGAATGCAGCCTCTCATAACAACACCAGCTGGTACACTGATATGGATGGGTTCTTAGAATACTCAACTAGTGGATGAAGCCTGTACTCCAAGGGACTGCCCTCCAGAAGATAATTTTGGTTTATTTTAGTTCCCCCCTTATAGATGTACACAAATATTTTCTCGTGTGTATGTATACTTGGTAAACACTAGAAAAATATAGTAAGCCATAGAAAAACCACTAATATCGGTATCACTTCTTAGGATAAGAAATAGCTTAAATAAGTCAATTGAATTAAAGTAAAAGATTGCATAAATGCCTACACAAGTAGAACTCCAATGCAGCAAAATCCTTGAAGGGAATATGTGAGTGACTAATATGTGGGGAGCTCTAACCTAATTGCATTATAAAGATTTTAACAAATTCAGGGATGGTCTGATCAGGTGATACCTGATACCTATGCCAGAGTGTTTTATTCTTCATTGGTCTGGTATTTCAGCCTAAAAATTTCTTTGGGAAATATGGGTTATTTCACATCCACTTTATTTTGATTATGTGAGATACTTCATTGACTGTGAGATGTTAGCCACATATAATCAGCGGAAATAATAAAGCAAACTAAAATGAAGGGAAAATCTGTAAAACAACTAGACTCTACAAAAATCTCGATGTCGTAAAGGACCAAAACAAACAAAACCCAAAAGACCACATCTGGGGGACCATTCTAGAGAAAAAGGAGATTAAAGAGATGTGACAGCGAAATATAACATGTGATCCTTAACTGGACCCTGGATAAAATATAAGTTATAAAGAACACTTGGGTACACTTAAGGAAATTTGAAAAACAACTGCGTATTAGAAAATAATGTACTAAATTTTAAATAGTTTGAATGTAATGATTTTAGTCTTGGGGACTAACCGTGGTCTTAGTAGACTGATGCTGAAATATTTACAGCTGAAGTATATCAATCTCTGCAACTAAGTTTCAAATAGTTTAAGCCAAAATATACATACATGCACATATAACTCACATGTACACATAAGGCCCCTATAAATACAGAGAGATATATACATGCAGATAACACACATAGGCACATACATATATACAGACACATAGACATGTGTACTACATACATCAACACAAACCACAGACAAGTGTACAGAGAGAGAAAGCAAATGTGGCAGAATATTAGTAGTTGATTAACCCAGAGTGTTCACTGTGCAATTCTTGCTCCCTTTCTGTAGACTCAGACTTAAACTTCTTCCAAAAAAAACCACTGCAAGAAAATATTATATTTTTGAGATAGATCACGGAGATAGATGAATTTCATTGTGTGAGGGGGATATGAGGAGGTTAAATGGTAATGGAAAAAATACATTAAGAATTTTTTAAAAAGAATTTCAGTGTGTAAATCAAGAAGTAGGTGTTCAGGCCCTGGCTAGTGTGGCTCTCTGGATTGAGTGTCAGCCTGCTAACCAAAGGGTCACTGGTTTGATTTCTGGCTAGGGTACATATCTGAATTGTGGGCCAGGTGCCCAGTAGGGGGCGTACAAGAGGCAACCACACATTGATGTTTTTCTCCCTCTCTTCCTCCCTCTTTCTCTAAAAATAAATAAATAAAATCTTTTAAAAAAAAGAAGTAGGCATTCAGAAATTGGATAACAAACATTTTTACTATTGCCCTGGCTGGTGTAGCTCAGTAGATTGAGCACGGGTCTGGGAACCAAACAACCACAGTTTGATTCCCAGTCAGGGCACATGCCTGGGTTGCAGGCCAGTTCCCAGCAGGGGACACACAAGAGGCAACCATACATTGATATTTCTCTCCCTCCTTTCTTCCCTTCCCCTCTAAAGATAAATAAATGAAATCATTTTAAAATTTTTTATTATTATTTTATTCTTTAGTACACCCCATTAAAAAATTTGTTCTTGCTTTTATTTTGTCCATCCTCCCTTCCCCTTTAGCATCTGTCAGCTTAATCTCTGTGTGGATCTGTCTTTGTTTGATTTTGTTTATTCATTATTTTTTAGATTCCACATATGAGTGAGATTATATACTATTTGTCTTTTTCTGTCTGACTTATTTCACTTAGCATAATACCCTCTAGGTCCATCCATAGTGTTACAAACTACAAGATTTTATTCTTTTTTATTGCTGGATAATATTCCATTGATATGTGTAACACTTCTTTACCCATTCACCTGTCAGTGGTGACCTATGTTGCTTTCTTATCTTGGCTATTCTGAATAATGCTGCAATGCACATAAGGACCCATGTGTGTTTTTAAATTAGTTATTTTTTCTTTAAATAAATACCCAGAAGTGGAATTGCTGGCTTGTATAGCAGCTCTATTTTTTTTTATGAATCCCCATACTGTTTTCCATATTTGGAGCACCAGCTTACAATTGCTTTGCATTTTCCTAATGATTGGTGACGTTTAACATCTTTTCATCTGTGTGTCCTCTTTAGAGAAATGTCTATTCAGGTCTCCTGCCCATTTTTAAAGTTTTTTTTTACATGAAGTTACAGAAGTTCCTTACACAGTTTGCATAGTAACCCTTTATCCGATGTATCATTTGCAAATATCTTCTCCCATTCAGTAGGTTGTCTTTTTTTTGTTGTTGATGGTTTGGAATAAAATTTTTCTTGACCTGTTAAGGAGCATGCCAAGACCCACAATGGCTTCACAGCTATTCCACCACGAATATGCTCTTCTAAGTCACCATTAGACATAAAGCCAGTCTCTGGTCAGCAGAACCCAGGACAGATGGTTCCTGGTGACTGTTTGGATTCTAGCCTATAGCTCGTAAAACAATACTGTTCCAGAAGAGCCTCCGCTCTGGTAGAATAAGACTTTTTGTGAATTCAAAAGTCCTTCAATAAGTATTTTTTTATTGTTGACTATGTTCCCGGTATTGCTCCTTGGGGCAAAGGAAGAAGGTTAAGCTCCTGCTTCTTATGGAGATGACATTCTGAAGTGGGAAGGACAGAAGTAGCCAAACGAGTGGTGAGGTGAAGTGGAATATAAAAATTTACTAAAGTCTCATTAAAAAAAGAAAGCATGAAGGTAACATGACAGGAACTGATGAGTCAGGGTGGTGGTGGAAGGCCTTTCGGGGGAGGTGATCGATCGTTGCTATCACAAGGAAGAGTCCTTTTATTTTAAATGTTTCTTGCTGCGTATTCCTAATTCTCATGGCCTTTGAGCTTGTTCCTGATGTCAAGGTCAAGGATCTCCTGAAACCTGACTGTTCTGCCGGGCTGCCACAGGGTCAGTGTTTCTGGCGTATGTCACACCAAGTGACACGACCGAGTGGCATCAGCGCACGGGTGTGCTCTGGTTCACCTGTTCTCTTACTGATGAATGCAGGTGTTCTCTGCACACTTTTTATCTTCATGACGGACTTTTAAGGAAGTTTAATTTAAAAACCACACCACGCTCATCATTTGCTCATACTGACACATGGTGATGAAAGTGAGTTATTGTTCCTGAATAATGCTGCAAGGAAGCCTTCCGACCGGCAATTTTCAATAATGCCACATTGGCACCCCTCTGAATTACTATCTGCTTTGGCTAATTTAATATGACAGGTTTCTAAAGCAATTTGAGTCCATGTGAAAGCAGTAACAGAGAGTATTTAAACTTGCTTAAAGGAGGGTGGGGGAAAGAACCTACATTGCAATCTCCTTGTAACACAGATCAAGATTTATTTGGACTCATTTCCTGGAGGCATTAAATATGTTTAATTTTTTTTCCGTCACCTTTTCAGTTACATCTGATCATTGTATGCTGTCTGCTCTGCTTCAGTTTACCCCAGAGTGTAGAATCCATCAGGTTCTCCAGCTGAGGAGCCACTGAGGAAAGGAAGTAGAAACACTATTTTTTAGCATTTCTTAGAGAAATTGCAATGTTAAAAAATCAGGTCAGCATATGCCCTTCCTATAAAATCACTGATGAGATAGGCCGGCAGATAAAAAAGGTCCCACGTAGGATTCTGAATATCAGTGTTGCTTCTCCTTCCTCTGTTTCCACCTGGGTGAACCAAAGCTGTTCTTCCAGATGGCAGGGTGTGGGCCAGGCAGCATGGTATAGCAGAAAACTAAAGGATTTAGAGTCAGAGAACCTGGATGGAGGCCCAGCCCTGCCACCTATCACTGTGAACTTGGCTCAAGGCCTGGCTCATTGTAAACATTCAACAATTATGAGCCTCATTTCCTCCTCCTCCTCCTCCTCCTCCATCTCCTTTCTTTATGCATGCTCACACGTGGTCAGGTAGGGAGGCCCCTACCATTCTCTCCCTCAGCTGCAGTCAGTCACACTGGCCTTCTTTCTGTCTGCAGAACATGCCAAGCATATTCCTGCTTCTAAGCTGCTGAACTTACACTTCCTTCTGCTTTGACATGCCCCTCCCACAGATCACCCCATGGCCTTCTACTCACTTTTCGCTCTCAGCTCCAACGTCACCACTCAGAGCAGCCTTCCCACCCTTGGTCGCTCTCTAACATCTTACCCTGATGGGTTTTCTTCATGGCTCCTCTCACTGTGTGGTTACCTATTTGTTTGTTTTCATTATCTGTCTCCCCTTTCAACCCTGTGCTCTATGGGAGTAGAGGCCTTGACTGTTGTGATGATACCAGCCGCTGGTACATATTAGGTGCTTCATAAAAATGCATTGCATGGAAGTTATTGGGACATCCATGAGAGAAAGAAGAGGCTTGTAGGGCTGTTCTGAGGTCAGATGACACAGGTTTCAGAGAGTCGTTTGGAAACCATCAAACACTTACTATTAGGCCTCCTCTGCCGGGATGCACCCCTTCCCTCTGCCCCAGCCTGAAGTGTCCTTCCACATTCTTGTGGCATTTTCTGTAAAGGTCTCACATTTTTGACACATAATTTAACTGCTTTCATTGGCAGGCATTTCCAATGAAACTTGGAGGAATTTGAAGCAAGATGAAAAATTCTCCAGCTTGGAAACTGGTACTCAGCAAACAGCTTACGGATGTAAGTACACAGAGCAGGCAGCATTTAAACAATGCCCAGCCTCCGAGGCAGACTGTATTAAGGACTCAGGCTACACACAGCTTCCCTGTGCCAAGTTAGGCCTCAAAAAAATGGCATCATATGCTTGGTCTGGGGGAGGCAGGAAACGAATGCAGAGGGTTCAGTTTGGAGGCAGGCACAGTGGGCCATGGCCATGGCCATGAATTATTTTTGCTCCTTGTGTTCCTTCAAGATATCTCTGTGATGAGGGACAGTGGTGACAATGAGCTGTTGGGGACCTCTTACCCATGGAGAAGAGGATTATTTTTTCATCTACCTACCATTGTGGAAACGTTTCAACCTTTACTATTTATAACCATTTCAGTCTTCAATCAAGATGTAGTATGTTGGATTTGAAAGAGCTTGATTTAAATTGTGGAGGGAAAGGAAGGGCAGTTTCAGAAATCTCAATTCATCATTCATGATGTTCAAAGAGATGTGTTTTTTTAATAAGTGAGCAAATTACCTTGATAGTGACTGAATCAGGCAGCGGATTGTGTTGATTTCAGAGGGTGAAACCCCTTCCTCTCTGCCACCTTGTAGAGACACTATTGAACGATGCTGTGCCTCCTCCCCTGCACATCCCCAGTTTTTCCAGGAAGTTAAAATGGGCTAAGTGTCAGTGGAAATTGAAATTTCTCATTTAAGAAAATGAAAACAAAATTTGAATTTGGGGAAATGACTTCACCTGTGGCTCTCAAAATGTATCATCTCCCTCTACTTTGATGTATAAGAATTTTGGTAAACTGAGTCAGAAAAGGAGAGTGCACAGCCAATCAGATTTCTCCTCTCCCCTCTCCAGAGGACCAGAATCCTGCCCTTATGTCTTAGGACATGGGGTGTTTTTGTTGAACTTCCAAGAGTGGAAGTTCATGAAAATGTTCATATCTCCTGAAAAATATATATATATATCATGAGGACTTTGATGCACAAATATTTAAATCATAGTATTTTTAATTTGAGTGACTTAACAAACAGTAATAACACCAAATTTTTAATATGGACTATGTCTTAAAATGAGTACATTATCTGTAATAAAGATAAATATACTGACCGTCTACCATCTTAACCTTACATTTCTCCCTTATGACCATTCAAAAATAAGAACAAGCATTTTTTCATTTTGAAGAACTGAAGTTCTTTGTACAGAGTTCTGTTTGAAGAGGAGAGCTGAATTAATTAGCACAGGAGAAATCACAAATTAAGCACAGCTCTGAAGTACAGCTCATTCAGAGGATTTAAACACAGCTTTTTTCCTGAAGCTTCTTGTTTTTTCAAGAAAACAATTAGGAATAGAAGATGGATTTTAAATTCCTAAAGGTGTCCAAGGGTTTCATATTGATCATCTCACTGACGGCCAGGTTGCTCCCAGTAGCACTAACCACAAGATAAAATTTTCTTGGAACAGCACATAAGTGATTCTTTCTCTCGTTTTCTTGTTTTTGAAGACAAGCTTCCAGTGACATCTGTGAAGAAACTGACATTTGAGCCCTAAGGTTCAGGGAGAATGTCCAGCCCCTCTCTGACTTCTCTGTACTGTTTCTTTGGAAACTTTAATTCAGAACTCTTCATCTTTAGTTCAGAACATCCCATCAACCTATTAAGAGAATTTTCCTAGATGCTGGTTCTGTGACAGTTTTCCCCAGGCCCTTATCTTTACATTCTTCAAATTAAAAAAAAATAAATTCAGGCTCAGAGTTTTAATTTTATGGTCTTTGACCTACATCCATACATTCCCATTATATTTGAAGGAGAATTTCCTCAGTTCAGGTCTCTATCCTTTTATGCCTGCTCTCAAATTTGCTGGCTCTTTACCTTCTCCCTCTACCTCAGTGCTTGCTTCATATTACCAATGGATTCACTTTTCTAAAATACTGCTTTGAGTTGGCTACTTCCTTGCTTAAAACACTGGGGGACTCTCAGCTATGAATTGTACATCCCTTGACCTGGCATTCAAGGCCCACCATGGCCTCCTTCTCCTAATGTATTTCATGGTGCATCTCGGTGCTTATGCTGGACATCATCCACATGACTGATGGGCTTTGAATAAACTCTACATTTTCTAGGCCCTGATGTATTCTCCACTTAATACTTTCTCCCTCCTCATCCTTTTTACTTACCCAGTGCTATTGTGTCCTTTCCAAATGAAGGTCAAGTACGAATGCAGAAGTTTTCCTTGACCACCTCTGATTAAAGTAACCCCCACTTTTAAATAAGCTTGTTTTCTCTTGAATTTATTTGATCTATTTTTTTATTTTGCCTCTTATAAGCTGTGCCCAAGACTAAATGTCTTATGGTCCAAGACCATGTCTCATAACTTTGTATACCTCTATTCACTGCCTAGCCCATCTTACACATGACAGGTATTCTGCAAATATCTGTTACTTGTTCTCAAAAGTTAAAAGCCTCTTCTAATAAATAGGAAATCTAGGTGGCTCCCATTTCTTTAAAAAAATTTTGTATTAAATTTATTGGGGTGACATTGGTTAATAAAATTATATACTTTGAAGTGTACCACTCTATATCATCTCTATATTGCATTGTGTGTTTACCACCCAAAATCAAATCTTCTTCCATCATCACATATTTGACCACTTTTACCCTTTACTGCCCCCAACCCCTTTTTCCTCCAGTAACTGCCATTCTGTTGTCTGTGACTGGGCATTTTTGTTTGTTTCTTTGTTTATTTGCCTTGGTTATTCATTTCTTGCTTTCAGTTTTATATGCCCATGAGTGAAATCACATGGTTCTTGAGTTTTTCTGGCTTATGAGTCAAATAAGCTTTTCTGTGGAGCCTCAGAAACCATGTCAGGTCACTTTACTTCCAGAACATGGGCAGTCGTATCCAGAGTCTCAACAGTCCATGAAAGAGAGTGTGGAACATATTTGGAAGCAGGCATGTTAGATCTGGACATGAAGAGAGAGGGGTCACTCAGCTCCCCCACCAAGTGGTATATCTAGGGTGAAGCAGTAGAAGCAGCATATCATGGGGACAGGCAATAAACAGGCACATAGAGAATTTAAAACTATCATGAAACCAACTATGAGTTGTTCTTCTTGTCACCAAACATTAGCATACCTAAACAAATATCAAAATAAAACACCTTTTTTTCCTCAGAATATGCATTTCTGTTACTGTCAAATTTTAATAACATAAGTAAGCTCCAAAACATGTTATTGTTATTATTGAATAAGTGCCGTATTCTACATGAAAGTTAATTCGGAGAAGTCTTGGTAATACAGACCGGTGCACACGGCCTGTTATCTACTGAACGAGGAGGACAAGTGGTCTCAGACCCTTCTGTTGCTCAGGCTCCTGCTCTGTGGTACCAGGTACTCTGCCATTTAAATAGTAGATTTGGAACAAACAATGGAGCACAGTGATTGTAAAAATAGGTAGACCTTGGGTTACGTTAATTCTGCCATTCTCTGTGACCACTTATGATTTTGGTTTTACTTAACTTTTGGATGCTTCCAAGCATCCATATGATTTTGTTTGATATGTGCACATTTTAGTTGATACATGAACTATATTTGTTTCATTTCATGATTATCATAGAAAATGATTTCTTCCATATGGAGGCGTGATATATTAAAAATGATTTACTCCTAGAGGCGTTTATAGTAAGAATTCCCATGCATCGGATGTGCTTGTTTTACTGAAGAACAATTTCTGAAGTCTCCAGACACAGCTCTACACAAATGTAAATGTCACTTTATTGGAGAGGCTTTCCCCGATTAGCATGTGAGATAGGTAACCATGCCCCTTCCCCTTGACCCCACTCTTTGTCGTTCTTATCCAAGTTTGATTTCCTACACAGCACTCATCACCCCGACATACTACACACAAGCTTGCACATGTGTGTGTTCACTTGTTAGTATTTGTCTCTTCTGCTCAGCCCAGCTCCCACAGGGTCAGGAATTTGCTTTATCAGTGCTGTATCCTGGAGACCTTCAAGGTAGTCTAACATGGAATCAATGCTCAATAAATACTCATTGACTGAATGAATGAATGAGAAGAGTGTCATAATATATCCCACAGACACCATTCATTTATTTTCTTCTCTCAGGGGCCCATCTAAACAAACCTTCACATGGTTACAGAAGTCCCTTATCGTCTATCTTAACAAACATGCTTTTCTTGAAATAGACGGAAAATTGCTCCAATGTCCTTACTAATCAATTCTGCCTGGAAAGCTAACTCAAAGGTGGCAGCATAGAAAAAATAGCCATATATTGAGAGATTACTATAGTCAGGCTCTTTAATATGTATGATCTCAGTGAATTCTCAAAAAAGGCTATTTTATAGATGAGGAAATGACAACACTCCTGTGATCACCTAGGCCTGTCCTGTCCCTGGGACCGGGAAGGAAGGACAGCTGGGGACTGCGAAGAAGAGCCCCACCCATTGAGGCGTTCTCTCCATTTCTCACAGCTTCTGCTGCTTTGGCACCTGCTCCTACCAGCATCTGCTGCCGGGAAGTGCGTGGTGTCATCGCACAGCTGTGAAGTGGGGCAGAACAGAGAAGCAAACGGAACAGCATAGAGGAGCCAGGCAACTGAATGCGAGGCTCCAGGGAGGTAAGAGAACAGGAGTGGCTCAAGTTCTGCAAGAATAAAGTTCCTCTGTGGGGAGGGGATGTAGGAATCCTTTAATCCAAAGAGGACACACCGTTTCAAATGTCCATGTACGAAGTGTGCCTCTGCAAAGGTACTCATCATTTTGTCTCAGACTTTGAATGACTCACCCGCAGCCCTACTTTTAAGAAATCGTCCATAGATATTTATGGACTTTAAGATAACATTTTTTTAAAGTGTATACTTTTTATTTAAAAGTTTAAAATTCAACTAACACAGTCATAACAACACCAAGGGAAGTCAATAAAGCATCTCTCTAAATTTTAGGATACTAGAAAATATGTTTAATTTTTTCTGGATTCTTTGCCTCCCAGTTCTGATCCATATGCACACACAGTTTTATTACAGCATAAGCCTGCATCTTTAATGTGCTAGAATCTGTTTCTGGAAGGAGTTGTTTTCACTGCGACCAGGGCAAGGCATTGCCAGGGTCTACGAGGAGGGGAAGGGGTGACAGCACCCCCTGGTAGATTCATGTTCAGGAAGAGGCCACCCCAAAACAGGAGGCTGAACTTGTGAGAAAAAAGAATGGATGAGATGTCAGTGGACATACTAGGAAGAGAGAACAAAAGTGCCTAAAATGCTGGATACAAAAATGGAAGAGACACAGGCAGGGAAAGAGAAAATGAGGAAGAAGAAGGTATTAGTGGGAATTAATGAAACAAAAATGACTTGCATCTCTCTGACATTAAATTTGGCTGACTTGTCTTATATCAGAATGGTTTCTCCCTGAAATCTAGAATTTCTGTCATTTTTCTACAGGCAGAATAACAAAGATGGCAGAAAAGCTGATTTGAAATGTACATGTGAGTTAAGAAATTGGTCTGTCATTAATAATGTTTTAGGAGAAATTGGCATGTCATTTCTCACCGATTTAAGCCTCGGGGAGGCTGAGAGTGGTGGAGTATAAAACAAAACCTGGACACTATCAGAAGGAAGAACTCACAGCAAACAAAGTTGACTGTGTCCTTTAAATAACAGTAAGATAACCTGAAGTCTAGCAGAGATCTGAGAACTCTTGATCATGCTGGGTTTATTAGGCCCTTAAATCATTTTTCTGACTACAGCCCAGAACCAGGTGTTAGATTTTACTATGACCTATAATGCTACCCTTTTAAATTCTCTTTTATTTGTTTTTGAGAAGAGATTGTACCATGCATGTGTCAGGAGGTATCAGGCACAGTTATTCTGAAAGACGCCATCTTGAAAACAGTGGTTCATCTGATCGATGGCATTTAGTTTATAAAGACATGAATTGTATCTTGGGAACACTGGAGGAATTTATAGTGTCCATACCTGGTGACACCAGACGACTGTTCTGTTTTGTTTTCTCTCTCGTCTCTAAGTGACAACCTAAAATAGCCTGCAGGATGCATTTCCTAGATGCAGACACAGTGCAGACAAATCCTGGTTGAATCTACGCCTTCCTCTTCCTGGTGGTCTGTTCATAATAACCTGCACAATTGTGTGACAGAATCACAATGGGAAATCCATCAAAGATTTGGATGTGCTAGAATAAGACCACATCGGGCTTAGCAAGCCCAGACTCAGGTCTGTTCAGAATGCTCATTTGGATTCTCGAGTTGTTTTCCCACTGCCATTCCATCTGTACCAAGGTGAATAAACATAAAAAGCTGACTGTCCAAAGCAGGGGACCAGGGAAGGTCATAAATGTCTCTAGTGATGGATTCCCAAATCCTGCTGCATACTAAAGACTCTTGGAAAGTGTCTAAAATCCTCCAAAACCCAGGCTATACTCTATACACATTAAACAAGAATTTCTAAGGTGGGGCTAAAGCATCAGTTGTTTTAAAAGTCTCTCAGGAGGTTTTGATACACGACTATAAAATAAAGTAAGGTATAATAAATGCTGAAGGGAAATGTGGTTATGCTCTAGGAGTACTTCGGAGATGAGCACAATAGCAAAGACTTGTATGGCAGAGAGTAAGGAGGTTGATCTAAGCAGAAGGGCAACACAAGCAAAAGCAGAGATAAGAAGGTAGGTAGTGAGACAGTACTAAGTTCTTTCTGGCTGTAGCCTGGAGCATAAAGGGACAGTGAGACTATCAGGGAGTGTCAGAATATGCTGTGAAGGGGCTGGATACCAAGCTGCTAAAACAGTGTGTGTAGTTTTGTAGGCAAAGGCAACCACTGGACAGAGAAGGTGTTTTGTTTGGGTTTTTGTTTTTAATGAACATAGTACCAGTGTGTAAAAGTGCCTAGAATAAAGCAGAAACTGTAAACGTACATCACATTAGGAGGCTGAAGTTGCTTTAAAATGACATTTCCTAACCTTAGTTATTACCTTACATCTTTTATGGTTTTTATTGTGTGTACCATTTCCTATAAATGGACTTATTTATTTTTACTGAAATAGATCTGTGTAGAATATATGACTATATCTGCTTATCTATCTACTTATCAAATATTTTTCTGACATCCTCAATGGAAAACTAGTGTCGCTTCTCATAAATAGAAGTTTAGTCTTAGGAAAGAATGCTACAAAAATAAAACCAAGTTGTTTCTTGTTAGATACTCTTACCTGTCAGCAATTCTGAGTTTGAGGCCTAGTCTCTTCAAGAAAAGGGAAGATTTGCAAGTAGCATTAATGACAGAGTAGCACTACGCTTGATGGTGACCATGAGGATGGAGAAGAAGGAATGGAGATGAGGCAGCTCAGAGGCAGACGCACCCAGACTTTGACCAGTGGTCCTTGTTGGCTCTGCAGGAGGTGATGAGCATTTTGTCAGTGTTATCCCAGAGAATGGAGTCTCAGTGTGCCATGTGTCAGCTTTAATGCTAAAATACAAGCAAGGGACACGAGGAGAATCACAGTAAAAATCACAACAGCGAATCTTTGGAGGCGTTTTCGGATCTAATCATATCCTTTTATTCTGCCTGCAGAAAAGGCAGCTCCCGATGGTTTGATAATCCCAGGAAGGATGTGTGTGCTATCAGTGTGAATGAATTTAACTGGTAACATAGAATGTCAATAAATATACTTGAACTTAGAGATTGTCATTTTTTTTAAATGCAATATCGAATAACATGAGAATTTGGAATGGCATGGAGTTTTAAAGCAGTGTACTGCATGGCTATAGTTTTATATGGGCACATTTTATTTTGGTGATGGTTTGATTAGATTTGAAGCAATGGGAACTCTGTGGTGTCCATGTGTGTGTCAATATGTCTGTGTTATGTTCACTAAGTGCAATAGTAAAGGGGAAATTTCCAAAGTCAAGTTTTAAAATGATAAGGCAAAGATGAAGGAAATAATCCTGTAGTCACAGACAAAATATTATGACCCTATCCTAAAGCCAGTGAACAACAGATGATAAAATGTACCTCTTTTTAACCCTCTGTAATTCTCTGAAAGCCTCTTAGAAGCATACTACTGTCTGTATCTTCAGCTACATGCTGCTTTGTTTATGTAGACTGTTGGTAAAATCCAATCGAGAGCCTCTGCCATGGTATGATTTAGGCATTCCCTGATAAGCACATCTTACTCAGCAGGTTGACTGGGGATTATTAGTAAAATCCAGTCATGCTGGAGACAAATACAGTTCTGTTCATTTCACTAATTCATTTCTGCTGGTTGTACTGACAGCACTTACCTTTATCTTTTTAATTGGCATAACTGTCTTCCATAGCTCTGTCCTCTTTAGAATATCAAATGAAGAAGAGCTCATGTCTCTACTCCATGATTGACTACCCATATGACCTGCAGCTACACTCAAGCTGTGTTGTGGTGACAGAAAAGGTCCACTGGGCACGTGCATGCTAAATAGTATCAAAAATGCCTGGCAGTTACCAAGTACACTTTATGTGGGAGGGTCTGTGCCAAACATGTCATATAAATCGTGGTATGGCTTAAAATGCACCACAACATAATCCCTGCTTATTATCACCATTTTATAGATGAGGAAACTGAGACTCTGAGAGGCTAAGGGACCAGCCAGAATTTGCAAATCTAGTAGATGATAGAGTTGGACTTCAAACTGAGGTTTGTTCACACAGCCTGATCTCGTCTACTTCTCTACACGGTTTCCAAAGGGCTGTGTCTGATTGCTCACCTCTGCAGGTCGTTTTGACTCAGTGATTTATGAGTGTCCTAAAGCATCACTGCAGAGGTGGATTTGATCATCTCTGTGAAGCAGAGAAAGGGGTGTGTGGCTGCTACTGTTTCCCCAAACAGTTGATATGCAGGGCTGCCAAGATCATCTAAGTGCTAAAACAAATGGACCCAAGCATGTCATGACTCAGCACAACAAAAGTTTATTTCTCAATCATATGATTGTGCAGAATAATTTGAGGTTGGTGGTAAGGCAGAAGGGGAAAGTGACCTTGATCCATGCGGTCACTCAGGGACCTAGGCTGACTGTGGCTCTATTATCATCAATACATGACTTCCAAGGGTGTCACTGTTGTCACCATTCCAGTTAGTCAGAAGAGCAAGAGGCTTAGAGGACTGTGTATGTGATACTTCTGTGAACCAAGCCTTAGAGGAGGCATGAATCCCTTGTATTCTCATTCCATTGGCCAGAATCCAGTCACATGCCTGCACCAAATTGCAAGCAAAGCAAACAATATAGTCAGGCCAGGTATCCAAGAAGATTAGGAAATGAATTTGAGAGTACTCACATCAGGAGAGCAGAGGAAAGATCCCAAGTCCAAGAATCTGAAGATTGGGGTTTCAATCCTCATGACCCTTTTGCTAGTCAAACTGGACAAGTTTCTGAAAAATCATCTGAAAATCAGAATCACTGGCCCACACTACTTCCTACTTCATAAGATAATCTAAGGTCAAGATTAGAGTGAAATAGGTGTGTGGACATTCTTGGCAAGCAAATCAGGACAAAGCGTGAAAGAGCAGACAAAGACCTAGCTAGACTGGTATAGAATCCAAGTTCCAATTCTTTTTTCTGCCCCTTTGTGGCCATGCA